TCTGACTCTCATAAAAGTAGAGAATATCATGAAGTGTACAGGGAGCAGTACAGGGAGCCGATCATTTTACCTGCACCTTTAGCGATGGATTGTGTATAGGAATTCCACGAAGCCAGTTGTAAGTTTGAAACCCAATATCTTCTCGAGGCACGGGTCCTCCTCAAGGGGACATCCGTTTATCGAACGTAAATCGTGTTCTGTTTGCTGGCGATGGAATGTTACCAGTTTGGTTTTAGAGATAATGAATTTAACCAACCTGATTTTTCCCACTGAGAACGATTGGACGTGAGGTCGGTTGTCAATCTTCAACCGTCAAAGATTTTAGAGGAGCACCCGCATATCGTCGTATTTGATCGGAGTATATTCTTAGATAATTTAAGTAAATCAAAAAGGGGTTGGTCAAAGAAATGACCCCTGGGGAACGCCTGAGTTGACCGTTAGGGCCTCGGAGCACTGGCCGTTAAAAACCACTTTCAGGGATCTACTTGTTAGGAAATATTTTATAATAGGAGAGCACTTCCAGACATTCTGAAGAGCTTATGGAGAAAACACTTGTACCACACTTTGTCGAATGTATTCAAGGTGTCTAACGCTATGGTCCCTGCGGTATGTGTGTCGTGTCGTCCAGGGCCTCACTAATTCTGTGTGTAATGATATTTAGGTCGTCAGTAATGGATCGGGCTGATGGAAACAGATACTGCTCGTCGCAAAGGTGGTTGTTTCTATTCAAGTGCTCGACAACCTTCTTATTGATTAAGGCCTCAACAGCTTAAAAAGCTTACTGATGATACAAATTATATACAGGGTGTCCATAAAGTTCGTGTGCACTTTAAAAAAATTATAACTATTTCTGTATTTGCGATAGAAATCTGTAAAAAAAATGTTATAATGTTTAATGTACCTAGTTTTAAGTAAATCTAAAATAACTATTGTGATTTCAGGCATTACTGTAAATAAGTTGACAAATATTTTCCGTGAACTGCAAAATCGTAATACACTTTGTATTGCTAATAATGGAGGACATATGTAAAAATTTCAATAAAACCTTACAAAATATAGATTTACTACTTTCTAATCTTTTTTACAACTTATTTCTATCGCAAATAGAAATAAAGTTATAAATGTTTTAAAGTGCACGTGAACTTTATGGACTTCCTGTATATATATATATATATATATATATACGATAAAAAATATAGTTTTAAAAGTTGCTATATTTATGAGGTAAAACTGCTGAATATCCGGGATAGGGGGTATCCACATATAGAAGTGGGCAATGAAGTCACCACCGACTGTCGACCGTCTATTTCATGCATGAACGCAATCTTAAGCTCATATATATATATATATATATATATATATATATATATATATATATATATATATATATATTTATATATATATATAATTGCTTATCTGAATTGTTTCTTATTGTTTTTCGTCAACGACGACTGACAAGGTATTGCAATTAAGCTTTTTATTTAAATTTTTCTTGTGTTCGTAAAAGTATTTTTCTGGACCCAAAGTGTGCAAAAACTATTCAAAAGTTCTGCATACCCGACAGTTTTCGGCTATTCTTTCAGCCATTATCAAGGACAATTTTTATATTTTTATTTGTAATGAAGTTATGGGAAAGTTTTTTTTTTCGAAACATGGTCAGCACATTGTGGCCATGTTTGTAGTTAATGTTATTGAGAGTTGCGTTTCCTTTATTATTAGGGCTTCCATTATTTTTAATCTGTTTTTAAATGTGGATGAATCTATTATATTGTCTCAGATGGGTCTTTGTACGTTTTTTTTCTGTGTGTAAATGAGTCCTTGATGAATTTTATCTCAACATTAAGTCACTGATTAGACAACTGGAAAGGATCAGCATGAAAATAAATATACACATTATGTGTATATTTTTCAATGAGACATATTTAAATGAAGACATGCTGCCTATATATATATATATATATATATATATATATATATATATATTTGTTTGAATAAAAATTCCTTATCCTTATCCTTAAGGATAAGGAATTGAAAATGGTACATCTAACTCACTCATATCTTCTCTCCCACCTCACTTCGTCACTTCGTTAATTTCACATACGCTTGGTGCGGTCCGTCAAAAATGTGTAAGTTTCTTTTCATCTTTCATTTCAACTTTTGGAAGTAAAGTCTGATGATCCAGAGCCCTTTAAAAGGGTTGTGGTGAAATAACTTATTACATGGAACCTTAAAGTGGTCTGTTTTTATTCAAACATATTTGCTCTGAATTTACATTGAGTTCTCTGGATGTCATCCTCCTTGGGTCTACCCATACGGATTACATAATTTTGCATAATATATATATATATATATATATATATATATATATATATATATATATATATATATATATGTGTGTGTGTGTGTGTGTGTGTGTGTGTGTATGTGTGTGTAACCTTGTGAAAGAGCTACCATATCAAGAACAGTGATGTGATGCAATTCGAGAAACAGGTCAACTTGCAAACTAAACTGACAGGGACTGACGTGCATCGAAACGCAATGTCGCAAACAATCATCGGACAAATACGGCCAAAGTGACTGCTGAGTTGAATAACCATCTGAATAGTTCAGTTTCTACTAAAACTGTTCACCGTGAGCTCTATAAGGCTGCATATCATGGAAAGGCCGCTGTGAGGAAACCACTTCTCTCCACTCGCAACATTCAAAAGAGGTTGAAGTGGTGCAGAGATCACAATGTCTGGTCTGCAGACCAATGGAAGCAAGTCATATTCTCAAACAAGTCCAGTTTTTCTCTTTTCCCAACTTCAAGGTGAGTTTATGTGTGGAGGCAGCCCAAAGAAGATTACAACCCTTACTGCCTGCTTCCAACAGTGAAGCATAGAGATGGATCAGTGATAGTTTGGGCCTCCATATCATTGAAATGTCTCAGTCCAATAGTTGCCCTGCAAGGTAGAATCAGCAGCAAAGATTGCTTGAACATTTTGTTAGATCATTTTCATCCAATGGCCAAGACTTTATTACCTGATGGTGACTGCATCTTCCAAGACGATAATGCTCCAATACATACCGCTCGAGTGGTTAAAAATTGGTATGAAGATCATGAAAGTGAGCTAGAACACATAGAGTGGCCTCCCAATCTCAAGATATCAATATTATTGAACATTTGTGGTGCATTTTGGAGCAACAAGTTAGGAGCCGCTATCCTCCACCGTCGTGTTGTAAAGAGCTGGAGGTTTTAATGGAAGAATGGCTGAAAATTCTTCTGGATGAAGTCAGGGAGCTGTATGATTTAATTCCTAGACCAATTAAAGGTGTCTGTGAGGCTAAAGGAGGACCAACTCCATATTAAATAAATTTTCTTTGAATTTAAGAAGTGTTCCAATTCTTTATATATATATATATATATATATATATATATATATATATATATATATATATATATAAAGAACGGGGATAGAAACAGCATGCTTTACTGCTTGGCATTTACACCAGAAGCTCCAATACGAACATTCTAGAGTATGTAGGTATCAAACTGAGGAGAGTACAGAAGATTCGGAAAGAGTTGTATGATATATCCCACCGATCAGTGGAGTGAACACTGGAGATGGTGAAGTTATGCTTTCATTCATTTTCCCAAAGAGCCCTAGACTCAACACGGACGCCTACATCATGTGACTTGAGGATGTGTGCTGCCTTGGGTTAAGCCAGAACAACCCAATCATGGCTGTCAGACAATTTCTGTGCGGAGCAGTTGTGCGCGAGACCAACACCAAAGATGAACTGAAGGCAAGAACTATGGAAGCGATCACCGTTCGGAAGAGTTGCAAGAGATTCCGAAGTTGTCTGGAGACCGTGGTTGAAGCCAATGAGAATTTTAATGAATAATTTAGGATTTTTTGTGTAATTTTGGTTAATATATGCCTGTTAAAATGAAATGTTACTGTTATTTTCATTTGCGTGTAATTTAGACGATATTATATCCATCGCACTTTGGATATTGGAAAGACTGAAAAAAAAGGAATGCTAAATGAAAGATGAATGTGAGAAAGGAATAAATTACACTAAGAGAAAGAGAGAGAAAGAGAGAGCGAGAAAGAGAGGGAAAGAGAGAGAGAGAAAGACTGAGAGAGAGAA